CCCCAGGTGACGGTCTAAGGTTCAGCCTTGGGATCACTGAGCAGAAAGAAACAAGGACTCTGACTTGAGTCTGATCGGCACAGTCTTTAAACTCTGATGAGTCAAATGGTGCACCGCCCTGTAAGAACGCCTGCCCCACCTGCTCTGATTTTTGCTTGGATTTGGCATCACTGCCTCCTGCTAAGTGAATGAGATTAAGTCTAGGGAGATCCCCTCTCAATTAGGCCCTATTAAGTACAGTTCTGCTGCCTGTTAGTCATACAATAAGAATAACAACATTTCATTACCTCTGCATGCAAGACTACAGTGAATTTTTACCCAAAACAGCCAGAATGGAATGGATCGCTTTGGCAAAGTCACCCAGACAGAGCACGTGTGTCTGAGAATACAGTCTGTTCCTGAGGTGTTTTCTTCCAGTTCAGCAGTGGATGTCAGGGAAAACCTCTTTCAGACCCGAGTGTACAGAGGTGTATTTTGAAATATTTTCTACAATTCCCACATTTCCCATAGGTTCTGTTTCCATTCTCCCTAAATATCAGAGCGACAAGATAGGGAAGGGAATATCTTTTATTGGACCTTCTCCTCTTGGTGAGAGAGAGAGAGAGAGACTGTCAAGCTTACACAGAGCTCTTCTTCAGGTCTGGGAAATGTACAAAGCTAGATACAGGATACAGGGGAACAAATTGTTTAGCATTTAACACAGATTTCAGGGGATCATTCCAGGTGAAGTCCAGGTCTGTCAAGGTTGTGGACAAAACGACCATCTGGGTTTCAAGGAACACAGGATGCCTAGGAGAGAGCTGGGGAAGGAACTCCCAGCTCAGTGCAAGGTGGAACACATGGCTTATTACACCAATCTGTAACCCACTAACCCCCTCTTTTTGTCCTACGACTGCAGAGCTGTTAACGGGCCACTCTGCCTTGAATGGTCCCTTATAGCGCGTGTGCTAACGACTTATGCTAAACAATCTGTTCCACCTTCAATTTTGCTGTGATGCTCTGAGTACCTGTCCCAGCCCTCAAGAAGAGCTGTGTGTGGCTCGAAAGCTTCTCCCTCTCAATAACAGACGTTGGTCCAATAAACTATATTAGCTCCCCCATGTTGTGTCTCTAATGTCCTGGGACCGACGTGGCTACAACTACCCTGCAAACGCAGGCAGCAAGCTACAGATCCGGTCAGTGAACAAGCCTGAGATGTGCACGGCAGAGGAAAGGGATGTTTGGGGATTTACGAACACTAGATCAGCATCTGTCCATGTGATGACTTCAAAGCATTCAGCTGTTACACCCATGCCTGCCCGGGGCAGTTGCAAACCTTGGTTGTTAATTTCTCCTAGCAGAACTGCAAGATGGTTTATCTGAAATGCACAGCCAAGGCCTTGGGCCACGTGGGCGTTCTCGGTGTGGGTATATTACTGTGAATTAGTGGTGTACAAGAAAAACTAGGGAGACCAAGAATGGGAACTTGCATAGACAACTTCAAGGGAAGTATAGACTTCAGCTGCTACTGTTGAACCCAGTAGCCACAAGCATTAGAATAACTTTGAGCAAAACAAACCCCACCTGAATGGCAGAGTGTGATGCTTCTCTGGGCACCCAGCGCTGAGAGTCACCTTCTTGCGACTTGTCTCCAGCGTGAGGGAGTCTTGCCTGTGCCAACTGCATGTCAGCTCCCTGACACTGTCAGCCATTCAAACGCAGTCCTGTCCCTTGCCAATAGATGCACCCAGCCCCGGAGTCCCTTCAAAGTGTCCCCCTCTGGTGTCCTGCTCTGATCACAGGATATCCACAGAAATTCCAGATCCTCCATTCCCCAAGGGACAGTGAACTGCAGTTTATCGGTTTTACCATAGACCACTGCTCCTGTATCACGCACAGCACTGGAGTTCAATTATAGTAAAACATAAGGACATTTGTTTAAGAAAGAAGAGAGATTCAAATGGAAACAAGTGAGAGTGCTGGTAACTAATGGTTACATAGAAACTAACACAATGCAAATTAGGGCTGATACTTAATAGTTCCCTCTCCTATCTAATAATGTAGATTCTTGCAAAAGACTGAACGTTGGGGGCAGCATTTGCTGGCCCTAAGGAGCCAGAACCCACTCTTTCATGAGGCAGCCCTGCGTATCCAGGTGTCTCCTCAGTGAATGGATACAAAGGGTCTTTCTCGAGCCTGTCAGACCTTTGTCTTTATTCACAGACAGAGCGATGCCCTCGCTGTCATATTGTTCCTCCTCACTGCCAAGTGGTTTTGATCTTTATCGTTCTCTTTGATGGTTTTCCATTGCCTTTTCTGGGTTGTTGCAGGGGTAGACAATTGAGTCATATGTTACATAACATGACAATTCCTTCCTGCTTGAATGGGCCATCACCAGGACATAGGCTTCCCTGCTGCTGCTTTCTCTCCGCAAGACCGTACTTTTCAGAATAGTTACATTCTTCCTTAAATACAACCTGTACACACATCTCCCCCTAACTGAGTATTGCTAAGTTACCAGCTTTCAGTGCAGACCTCACATGCTAACCTTAAAGGATAAATATCAGGAAAGTGGTGTATTAGGTGTAGTGAGTTTGTCAGGTCTGAGGAATTGCTTGAAAAGAACAGCGAACCCTTTGCCAGCTGGCCCCCATGGAGCTCTGTGCAACACAGCATCCAGGTGAAATTTATACAGACACAGAGCGCCAGGGGGAACTGACCTGTGTTTTTCCCCCCCAGCATGGAAGAGGAGCCCATTTACGAAGAAGTGAATTGACAGCAAACTCAACAGACCAATGCTTTTGCCAGGAAAGCCCTCAGCAGGGAGCCTGCACCAGCCTCACCTCCCAGCGGGGAGGGTGTTGAAAGCTCTTGGGTCTAGCAATTAAAGCAAGGTGTGTTTCTGGGTCCTGTCTCTGCTCTCCTCACGCCAAGGGCGCTGTGCTGGGAACGGCCCTCCCCAGCCGCTCAGCAGCTTTGGGGCAGGTTTGTTTGGAAACCAGGGCAGCGACTCCTGAGTCAGCAGGTGGGAAATTAAACTGGCAAACCTTCCAGAAGGAGCGGGGGGAGGGAGAGGCGAGAGGGCCAGAGAGTGTGTGCACACACCCATGTGCGTGTCCAGGAGGTCAAACTGGGGCACAGGGAATGAGGCAACTAGGCAACAATCCCGGTAAACCAGGCAGCAGGGGAGGGCAAGAGTAGCAGAAGGAGCTTTCCACAGTTCTGATTGTGCTACCCCCCCCAACACAGCTCAGAGTTACCCTCCAAGGGAGCAGCCACCACTGGTGCAAGGAGGAGGAGAGGTGGAGGCTGGGGCAGGCAGCACAGGACATGGGGGTGGCTTTCTGAGTGCTCAGCACCCACGGGGGGGGGGGGGGGCAATTTGAGCGTGCTGAGAGCCCAGCTGCTCCCCCGTGATAGGAGCACCGTGCAGGCTGCACTCTTGAAAGTCTGGTCACTTCGTTTGGTGCCTAGACAGAAGCGGAGCTTTTCAGCCTCTGGACCTTTGGCTGAATGTTCTGGACACTCCTGCTAGAGCCCCACCAGCAGGTTTACTGGACAGTCACGCTTAGAGAGGTGGCCAAGGGGCAAAGCGTCTGCACCAGCTACCCAGGCTCTGCCTCCCTTGCACTTAAATGCCCACGGCTGGCCTGCGGCAGCTGGGTCAGGTTTGCGGGGCTCAGCCTACAGCTCTAACATTGCTGTGTAACTGTTTGGGGACCCGGCCAGCTCCAGCCTGAGCCCCCCGTCTGCACCAGTTTTACAGCCCAGGCCCTGCTACCCTGGGTCAGCCGACACGGGCCGGCTGTGGGTGTGTAATCACAGCACAGACCTCCCCTTGGAGGGAGATGCAGCTTTCTGTCTAGGTCCTTCTGCAGCCCCCCCCCCCCATATGAGCCCTTCCCCCAGACCGAGTCATTTTCTGCTGGGGAAGGGAGAGGCAGGGTAGAGGAGGTGATTTGCCCAAGCTCCTCCTGGAAGCCTGAGGCTGTGCTGGGAACTGAGCCCAGCTCTCAAGTCCCCCTCCAGAGCCCTGGCCAATAGCACCTCATTCCTAGCTTTGTTACGGGGGGAGCCCCTCTCTTTCGGTCTCCACCAGACCAGTGTCACAGCAGTGAAGAATTTGACACAGCGACTGATTCAGCTCTGCTGGGCCGTGACAAGCAGCTGGCTTACACCTGCCCTACTGAGGGGCTGGTGTGTCCGTGTGCAGTGCTCAGGGCTGCCTTATGGGGCACACGATCAGGAGGGTGCAGGACTGCCCCAGCCACGCCTCCTCCGTTTGCTCCATCCCCTCCCTCCCGTGACCGGCTCCAACATGCTGCCCCCCCAGCTGGTGCTGATGCTGTTACGTTCTGAGGGCGAGTGAGGCTGCAGGGTTGACACGGACAAGCATGGAGGGTAAAACACAAACAACTGTAGTTGGCAGGACAGGTCTACCATGGATTAGGTGCTCACGTCTACAGGTGGTGCAGCAGACACAAATCTCTCTGGTCAGGGCAGGTGTCACTTCAGTTCCAGAGACAAGTGGAGACCACTGCATGTTCTAGACCCCAATCCACCATGGCCATCTACGCTCCAAGAACCAGAACCTGGCCCCTTGGGTCACCAGTCACACCTGTGCAGGGGTGTAACTAGTGAGATGCTCAGGGGCAGTATTCTCTCTTCTGCACAGGTGTGAATGATACAGGACCAGTGGGAAATCCAGCCTAGACTATTGGGCCAACATAGGGGCTTGTGAGTGGTGTACAAGGTTTTTTCTGGGCCTTGTAAATGGCAAATCTGTGACCGACCACAAGCCACTTGGACCCTAGTAAGCAGAGACCAGGTGATCCCAGCATGCCAGGCCCCAGAATGGGTATTGATGTGCCCTTCAGAGCAAGAGACACCCCCCCCCCCCAGTTCAGACAGAACTACAGACTGGAAGGATCACGAAATTTAATATGACTCAAAATGTTACAACACTTCAGAGCTGGGCTAGTTATGCCACATTCACCAGGCTCTGGGGAAAGCAAATACATGGGTGGGAGAAGGTTACACAGTAACTAGAACAAGAGCCTGTCAGAGCAAGCATGCTGAATGTGTCCGGGCAAACGGGTCCATTAGCCCAGGAGCCACATTCCTGGTTAAGGCTCCAGGAGAGTCCTGGTCAGAACTGCTCAGCAGAGGTCCACATCGTCCTTCTTGCAGGCAGGAAGGCAGGGGTGCGGTCTCTCTGGGAGCAGGGCAGAGCAGAGTTTCAGGTCCTGTTTCTCGGAAGGATTTTGAATAAGGGGGGCAGCACCTCACTGTTCCCCTCACAGTACCGGTCAATGACGATGCACTTGTAATGCCAGAGGAGCAGCAGGACCATTAGTGAAATGGTGATCATGATTCCTAGGGCAATCAGCAGCTTCTTCCAGGGGCAGCTGCCAGGCTTGGAGGAGTCCTGCTCCAGGCAGGATCGTCCCTGCTCAGTACTGGCCAAACACACCCCTGGCTTGTGGGGCTGAAGTAGACATTTCACTCTAGATAGGAGCACGGAGCGGATGCTTCCAAGCCTGGGGGAGCCTGCCTCAGCCTGGCATGGCCCTGGAATCTCCAGATCATCCTGACTAATCAGTTTGGTCTTCATGGTCACATCAGACTTCACAGCAGAAGAAGCCAATGGAACGACACTAACCAGCCGTTCCAGGTGCTTCCCAAAGCCCTGAAAGGAAAAACAAAGGGAGTGAGGGTCCCTCAGAACTCTGACGGACACCTCAGCTAGAGTCAGTGGGTGGCTAGGAAGTGAAGTGACACTTCTACATCGGGTTATTTGGTGAGAAATGAGTGAACCTACAAGGACTTTGTAACCAGGTACAAGAAGACCCCAGCCTGATGGAGGTTTTCGCCTGGACAGTGCAGGTTTGGTGAAGCTGGATTTTTGCCTGGTTTAAACAGCATGTGCCACCAGAATCCCAACTGTGAGCTGGCACAGGGCTGCCCATGCCATGCATTTTGTAGGACAATCATTTGTCAGCCCTGCCACGCATTTCCACAGTCCAGCTGAAATCTCATGCAGCCACTCCATAGTGCAGGAATAGCTCCAGTTCCAGCTGCTGGCTACCTGGGGCCAGTGTGGCAGGGAGCTCTTCTCTTGCTGCTGCCCCTTGAGGGTCTGCAAGGGGACAGACCAGCTGGAAGGAACAGCTGGCGAGTGACGCCAGCCACAGAAGGGATTTGGCAGCTATGTAGATGCCTCTCCTCGGTGGTGGAGGTGGTAAGAAATGCAGCCAGCACATCCTGCCCTCCAGAGGGGCAGGGAAGACCCAACATGTATGACACTCAGATGGTCCCAGCCCTCCATGAGTGGCAGCAGTGCTTTCCCAGAATGTGGGGTGTTCCCCAGCGCTAGCTAGCAGGCCACAGACATGTTCTCCAGAGTCTCAGCTTTCCTTTTTAGAGGAAAAAACTCTTTAGCTGTTATAGCTGCAGAGAAAACCTTCAAATCATGACCCAAGATGCAGTGATGACTGCCTGAGTTTGCAGAGAGCCTGAAATAGTAGCTCTGAGGTGTGAACGGCCCTGTTTTTATTATCTCAGATGCCACGGATGATAGGTAATGGGGACTTCTGAAGTATCTCCGCCGCTCAAAGCGGTGAAGAAAGGAGAAGATATAGTTATTCTAAGGATATAATCTAGGAGTCAATCTTTAACAGCACATGATGGGTTGAAAGGGGGTTAGATTAGCCTTCCAAGTTTAAAAATGGTGGGTGGAGGAGGTTAGAGAGAACAGTTGCCATTAAGAATCAATCAGATTATCCAGAAACACCCAGTCCCTGGCCTCAATGGGTTTTCCTCAATGGACCCAGGAGAACCCCACCGTGTTTCTGCACAGAGCTCTTCAGTCTGCAAGAGTCCTGAGGACAGGTCATGGGCAAGGTGTCTGGGGCCAGTTGGCCCCAGCAAGGTAAGAGCGGAGACCATCTGCTCAGAGCAGGTCCAGGCATTGCTCCAGGGCACAGTCCTCCTTCTGCCCAATGCTGTCCATGCACATACCCTCCCCCCAATCTGCTGTGCAGACATGCCCACCCCTAGCCAAAACTCAGTATGCAGAGTAGGGCTTTCAATGGCGCTTCAGGCTCACTTCTGATCTCAGACACAGGTGCAGTGTGATAATAACAAAGGTTCCTTCACTGCTCACATATGCACACACAGCCTCTGTTTGGCCCCGTCACCCAGGCATGGCTGACTCGAACCCTCCCAGCGTCAGTGGATTTGGAGCCACACACAGTAAACGCACTGCCTGTTTAGCAGCCGCCCTAGTGCCCGGGCTGGTGGAAAGGGGGCTCAGCTGGGTCCAGCTCTGCTCAGAAAGGGGCGTTAGGCCAGGGGGTGCTGGAAATGCCTGGATCCAGGTTATACTAGTACTTGCAACAGTGCTTCAAAATGGACATGGAGTTTGCGACCCAAAACCACCCATTTCTGGCCAAGGGCAGAGTTAAGAATCAGGCCCCCTCGGCTTTTGCTTTAGTTCCAGCGCCCAGCCATGGGGACAGAGTCAGTGGGCGCCTTTGAAAATACCAGGCCAAGCACCCACCGACTCTGTCCCCATGGAGCAGCGCCCCCCAGAGGGCATCACAGGGGGAGACCACAGTTCAGAGCTCTGGCAGTGGGCCAAGCCCCGCCCCCTGGCAGCTGTGAGAATGTCACACCCCTCAGCTGTTTGCGGGGCAGGACAGCTTTACAAGTGCCTCACTCGTCACCCCTTGGGGGCCAGGGCTCCCTCCAAATATGCAGAACTGCCAGGCCTAGCTGGCTGCTGGTGCCCTGCCTGCTGCTCATCCTTCAGGATGCCTGTTCCCCCGAGGGGAGAGGGGATGGCTGCCAGGCACTGGGCCTGATGCTTTCCTAAGGGGTCAGCTGG